TACATCTCAGGAAACAACACAATAATCAGGCAGCACTAAAAGAGTCATACATCAATGAAAATGGTTATCTTAGACATCAGAAGAGGAACACACGTATCAACAAAAAAATCGTAATGTTTTAAAACATAAAAATGTGTACTTTTCTTTCAGTCAATGCATAATAAATCTGTAATTCATTATCAATAGTAATGAATTAATTCATTTATTTAAACATAACTTTGAGAGCGAAAAAATAGGACACTCCAAAGTACAGAAACAGAAATTACCATAAATCTGGAAATTTTTACGGCGATTTTATTTTGCGAATTCGGGTCAAAATGGTGTTGAATGTTGATTCATTTTTACATTTCAAAATTTTGCGAATTACCACTGCTTTGTTTAAATTTTCTTATTGGTAATTTATTTTTAAGAAAAATATTTTTGCAAATGCAATGAACTCACAAATTTGCTAAAAATTTATCTACAGCAATTTATCCTGATTTACGGTAACTGATCACTCCACATGATATTTTTACTGGAGCAGGCCTAACCTTCTTCCTGCGAGTTCATCTTGGAGATCCTGAGCCACATCTTTGACGTATTTAGCCGGAGCATTTGTCGTCTGATTCTCTATCTGAGCCTTGACCTCCTCTGTGAAAAAGTCTGGACCACAAATCTCCAGCATCTCTCTAAGACCCATTATACAGGCGTACAGCACATGCTGGTCAGTAGAACTCTTCAGTCTCTCAGAGAAGTAGTCAAAAACGGGTTTCTGGCAGTCCTTATAAAGAAAAATACTTCAAATATAAGTCAATGACTACAACATTAATTTTTTTTCTACATCATATTGGGAGATAATGCTCATCTGTGGAAAAATCTTCTGAATATAATTTTTTTTTCAAAAGTCTGAGTTTTAACCTGTCCCATGATACCTTTACAATACAGGAAATAATATCTAAAAGTCACCTTACAAACAGCAGCAGCCCTGGTGACAATGTTCATTTGGTAACTAGCCATGGTATCCTGCATCAGTTTGGAGTTCAGCAGGGGGTGAGGGATGAAGGGCCCAAAAAGGGCAGGCTGTGTCTTGGACAGTATATCCATGAAGATCAGCACCTGACTGTTAGCCGTGAAATCCATGAAGTGGACATCAAAGAACAGCTTCATACTACGAGGAGTGAACACCTAAAGAAACAGACAACAAATGAAGGTGTTGTAATAATCTACAAAACTGTAACTGAATTAATTCCATGGGGCTGTAAGACAACAACCAGAAGTCTCTGTCGAGACTGTAGCTCTACTGGTTTGTACTTATAATAAAGGAAGAGAAAAGCAGCAGTTGGGACATAAACTTTACAAAAGCAATACATAGAATAATGATCCTTGATTAGGCCCCAAAAAATTAATCAATAGTTTCTCAGGCACCGCCGCATCAGTTCAAAAACGGCCGCATTGATCAATTTTATTGACATATTGAAAAGGGAAATAACTCAAATTTCTATTTTTCCAAGTTGAAAAAGAAAATCGAGTTATAGCCCTTTTCATAAATGCTAAGAAAGACGTTTTTATTAGAAAAACAATATCTTTCTTCTAAATTTAAAGTATTTTATAAATTAACTTTTAAATAAATGTTTGGAATAACATTATTTAAAGTTGAATACATATTATTACTAATTTCAGAGAACAAAACTTAAGAATTAGTGGATATTATCATTTTATTGAACAAATGACTTAAAAAAAAGGCGTAAACTAAATCCTGCTTCAAAAAAAAAAAAAAAAAAAAAAAGCCTGCCTGCCGCATTGAATTCTGATTTTTTTGGCCCGAGAAACTACTGATTAATTTTTTCTGGCCTTAAGTCTCTTTTTGTGGCAAGATTGCAGTAAGACTACAACTTAGCCTGGTTCCCTGTCCCTGTTTTGCTTCGTATACTACGCGTCACTAGGGCCAGGTGGAGTACAATGGATTCAGGGCGAATCTGCCCTGAATCTTAGCCCATTGTGACGTCCAATATGGCAGCGCTTCCAGTAAGGACATTCATTATGACGTCGTATTTTCTACGTCGTCGACGTAATGTGTCATTGTTACGTCGATATTTATTTCCGTGGTTAACGGCAACGGCTCAAAAACCCAAGATTTAGCGCGCATTGTTCTGACCAATCAAAGGAAAGCATAGAATGTAATACACCTGGCTCTCCTGCCTTGGCAAGGATGAGCCAGGGGACCAGGCTAGACTACAACTGTGGGAGTAGCCTTTTTAAATAAAATTTTACAGAATTTTCAATTTTAGTTACCATGGCAACATTGATCATCGAAATCAAAAACACAAAACTGATAACTATGTATCTCAGTGTAGTCTACTTGCATGCCAAATTATATTATAATCAGACTCAAACTGTATTTGGAGAAGCATTTTGAAAGTATTTCTCAGAAATTTCTATTTTTAGTAACCATGGCACCATTTATCTAAATTAAAAACAGATATATAGAATTATGTATCTTAGCGTAGTCTACTTTTGTGTGAAGTTATACTGAAATCAGACTTAAACTGTAGGTGGAGTAGCATTTTAAAAGTATTTTACAAAAATTTCTATTTTTAGTAACCACGGCAACACCATTCATCGATATTAGAAACCGATACACAGAATTATGTATCTTAGTGTATTCTACTTGTGTGCCAAGTTATATTGAAATCAGACCAAAACTGTAGGAGGAGTAGCATTTTGAAAGTATTTCAAAAAACATTTCTATTTTTAGTAACCACAGCAACACCATTCTTCGAAATCAAAACTCGATACACAGAATTATGTATCTAAGTGTAGTCCACTTGTGTGCTAAGTTATATTGAAATCAGATCAAAACTGTAGGAGGAGTAGCATTTTGAAAGTATTTCACAGAAATTTCTATTTTTATTAACCACAGCAACACCGTTCATCGAAATCAAAAATTGATACATATAATTATGTATCTAAGTGTAGTCTACTTGTGTGCTAAGTTATATTGAAATCAGACCAAAACTGTAGGAGGAGTAGCATTTTGAAAAATTGTTTACAGACGGACAGACGGACGGACGCCGGATGCATTACTATCGCATAAGCTCTTCTGGTCTCTGACCAGTAGAGCTAAAAATTCTATTTCTAGTAACCACGACAACACCGTTCATTGAAATTAAAAACCGATAAATAGAATTATGTATCTTAGTGTAATCTACTTGTGTGTGAAGTTAATTTGAAATCAGACCAAAACTGTATTTGGAATAGCATTTTAAAAGTATTTTACAAAAATTTTTATTTTTAGTAACAACGGCAACACCGTTCATCGATATTAAAAACCGATGCACAGAATTATGTATCTTAGTGTATTCTACTTGTGTGCCAAGTTATACTGAAATCAGACCAAAACTGTAGGAGGAGTAGCATTTTAAAAGTATTTCACAAAAATTTCTATTTTTAGTAACCACGGCAACACAGAAATTAAAAACCGATAAATAGAATTATGTATCTTAGTGTATTCTACTTGTGTGCCAAGTTATATTGAAATCAAACCAGACAGACAGACAGACAGACGGATGGACAGACGCCGTACGCATTACTATCGCATAAGCTCTTCTGGTCTCTGACCAGTAGAGCTAAAAATTAATGATGGTGTTGTAATAATCTACAAAACTGTAACTGAATTAATATTTATGGGGTGATATGTGGATTTGCATTTTTTTTTAAGTCATGAAGATGAAGACATTCTGAGGAATTGTGTACATTAATAAACACACTAATTCACAATATATATTTACATACATCCAAATCTATGAGTGTTTCTTATCACCTTCCCAAAGCTCAAGGATAATAAAACATACAATTCATTGGTAACAAATAATATCAACTCGCAAATCATGGGAAATCCTATACATATCTTGGAGAGAACAAATTTTATTTCAGTTTTTTAATCTTTACCTGTGAAAAGACCTTTCTAAATAAAATAAAATATGATTTTTGACCTTGTGACCTTGAAGTTTGACCTACTTTTCTAAAACGTTAACCTTGGTCATAACTTCTAAATGAGTCAGAAGAGATAGGGCTTTCATATGAAAGTTATGTAAAGCCTGTGACAAGACCTTTATAAATTCACAATAATTTTTTACCCTGTGACCTACTTTTAAAATAATCAAGCATTACTTAAAATTGGCCATAACTTTTGATTAAGAAGAGATAGGGCTTTCATATTAAACAAGTTTATTAACTGTGACAAGACCTTTCTATACATACACAGTGACTATGATTTTTTTACACCGTTAACCTGACCTTGAAGTTTCATCTACTTTTCAAAAAATTTAACCTTGGTCATAACTTTTGAATGAGAAGAGATAAGGCTTTCATTTTAAAAATGTGTATACCTGTAACAAAACCTTTCTAAATACACTATGACTTTTTATCCCGTGACCTTGACTTTGATGTTTGACCTACTTTTAATTAATAATTTTACTTTGACGTCATAATCGTTGAACGCCGAGGAAGTGCAACGTCACAAGCAAAAATAAAACCAGAAGTCTCTGTCGAGACTGTAGCTCTACTGGTTTGTACTTACCGGTATAATAAAGAAAAGAAAAGAAGCTGTTGTGACTTAAAACTTTACAAAAGCAATAAATAGAATAATGATCCTTGATTAAGTCTCTTTTTGAGGCAAGATTGCAATAAGACTACAGCTGTAGGAGTAGCTTTTAATAAAATTTTACTGAATTTTCAATTTAAATTACTATGGAAACATAAATCATCAAAATCAAAAACACAAAACTGTTAATTATGTATCTCAGTGTAGTCTGCTTGCATGCCAAATTATATTATAATCAGACTCAAACTGTATTTGGAGTAGCATTTTAAAAGTATTTCACAGATATTTCTATTTTTAGTAACCAAGGCAACACCATTAATCAAAAATCAAAAACCGATAAACAGAATTATATATCTTAGTGTAGTCTACTTGTGAACCAAGTTATATTGAATTCAGACCAAAACTGTAGGAGGAGTAGCATTTTGAATGTATTTTTTAAAACTTCTATTTTTAGTAACAAGGACAACACCATTGATCGAAATCAGAAACCGATACAGAGAATTATGTATCTTAGTGTAGTCTACTTATGGGCCAAGTTATATTGAATTCAAACCAAAACTGTAGGAGTAGCATTTTGAATGTATTTAAAAAACATTTCTATTTTTTTAGTAACAATGGCAACACCTTTCATTGAAATCAAAAACTGATAAACAGAATTATGTATCTTAGTGTAGTCAACTTGTGTGCCAAGTTATACTGAAATCAGATCAAAACTGTAGGAGGAGTTGCATTTCGAATGTATTTTAAAAAAAATTCTATTTCTAGTAACAAGGGCAACACCATTCATCGAAATCAAAAACCGATAAATAAAATTATGTATCTTAGTGTAGTCTACTTGTGTGCCAAGTCATATTGAAATCAGACCAAAACTGTAGGAGGAGTAGCATTTTTGAAAAATTTTCACAGAAATTTCTATTTTAAGTAACAACGGCAACACCGTTCATTGAAATTAAAAACCGATAAATAGAATTATGTATCTTAGTGTAATCTACTTGTGTGTGATGTTAATTTGAAATCAGACCAAAACTGTATTTGGAATAGCATTTTAAAAGTATTTTACAAAAATTTTTATTTTTAGTAACAACGGCAACACCGTTCACCGATATTAAAAACCGATGCACAGAATTATGTATCTTAGTGTAGTCTACTTGTGTGCCAAGTTATACTGAAATCAGACCAAAACTGTACGAGGAGTAGCATTTTGAATGTATTTTACAGAAATTTCTATTTTTAGTAACCAAGACAACACCGTTCATCGAAATCAACCGATATAGAGAATTATGTATCTTAGTGTAGTCTACTTGTGTGCCAAGTTATACTGAAATCAGACCAAAACTGTAGGAGTAGCATTTTGAATGTATTTCAAAAAACATTTCTAATTTTAGTAACAATGGCAACACCTTTCATTGAAATCAAAAACTGATAAACAGAATTATGTATCTTCGTGTAGTCAACTTGTGTGCCAAGTTATACTGAAATCAGATCAAAACTGTAGGAGGAGTTGCATTTCGAATGTATTTTTAAAAAAATTCTATTTCTAGTAACAAGGGCAACACCATTCATCGAAATCAAAAACCGATAAATAAAATTATGTATCTTAGTGTAGTCTACTTGTGTGCCAAGTCATATTGAAATCAGACCAAAACTGTAGGAGGAGTAGCATTTTTGAAAAATTTTCACAGAAATTTCTATTTTAAGTAACAACGGCAACACTGTTCATCGAAATCAAAAACCGATAAACAGAATTATGTATCTTAGTGTAGTCTACTTAAGGGCCAAGTTATACTGAATTCAGACCAAAACTGTAGGAGGAGTAGCATTTTGAATGTATTTCGAAAAACATTCTATTTTTAGTGAAAACGGCAACACCGTTCATTGAAATCAAAAAGCGGTATATAGAATTATGTATCTTAGCGTAGTCTACTGGTGTGCCATGTTATATTGAATTCAGAGCAAAACTGTAGGAGGAGTAGCATTTTGAATGATTTTCACAGAAATTTCTATTTTTAGTAAAAATGGCAACACCGTTCATTGAAATCAAAAACAGATATACAGAATCATGTATCTTAGTGTAGTCTACTTGTGTGCCAAGTTACATGTATATTGAAATCAGACCAAAACTGTAGGAGGAGTAGCATTTTGAATGATTTTCACAGAAATTTCTATTTTTAGTAACAACAGCAACACCGTTCATTGAAATCAAAAACCGATATTCAGAATTATGTATCTTAGTGTACTCTACTTATTGGCCACGCTATATTAAATTCAAATCAAAACTGTAGGAGGAGTAGCATTTTGAATGATTTTCACAGAAATTTCTATTTTTAGTAACCACGGCAACACTGTTCATCAAAATCAAAAATCGATATACAGAATAATGTATCTTAGTGTAGTTTACTTGTGTGCCAAGTTATATTGAAATCAGACCAAAACTGTAGGACGACTAGCATTTTGAAAAATTGTTTACAGACAGACAGACAGAGGGACGGATGTTGGATGCATTACTATCACATAAGCTATTTTGGTCTCTGACCAGTAGAGCTAAAAATCACGCTCAAATTGACCAGAAGCTGTTATGTTGCTGATCCATTAATTGTAGCTTACACAAAGGATAATACATATGTTTTTAAATGAAAATCACATTTGCAATTAAGGTAGAAAGTCAAAAAATGTAAATATAGGCAATGAATCATTATTTTTTGAAAGATATAGTCCCATAACTGCAACTGTGTGTGGAAACAAATTTTCTTAACACGCGTCACTCAATTTTTTTGCACACACCGTTGCAGTTATGAGACTATATCTTTCAAAAAATAATGATTCATTGCTTCAGGGTGTTCATATCTATCACAGTATGCGATAACAAAAATGACATCTCACCCACAAAGACACCAAAAGCGGGGGACCACAATTCTTTGAATTTGCTTGTTTTAATGAAAATTTTTTACTTTGTAATTATACATGTATAGTAATCAGCTATGTAAACTTTTGAATATTTGAATTTTATAAATATATTTTTTTGTACCTCTGGTTGAGTTTCAGCAATTTTCTTCAGCAGGAGACACTGCATGACAAAGCAGTTTGACTGATTGTCCTTGGCAAACACTTCCACCAGGTCAGTGAACCGCTTCGCAAATTCCTCAGGTCCATTATCATAGGCTGCTTCTAGATTCACTGTAATAGTTAAAAGAATGAGAAAAATGTCTTTTAAATAAATATAAATTCAACAATCTTATTGGAAACTGGACTAGAACAAGTTTTGTACATGGAAGAATTTCAAGGTACCACCTACAGTGTATTATGAACCATCAAATTATCTCAATTACAGTACTTGGTTTCCATGATAATTTTATGCATAAACGCCTTCGGCGTTTATGCAAATTATCATGCAAGCCAATCAATTGATCACAAAGTACAAAGCACAAAGATCACAAAAAAAATAATCACAAAGAGTCACACATACATCTTAAGACACACAAACACAAGCTTAAGTCACCAAGACACCATAGCTATTAACAGGACACTATTACTTTTGGTAAGACACAAACTAAAGTCACAGAGAGACCATAGCTAGTCACAAAGACACTAGGGAACTGGGTCCCTGGGCTGAGTGGTCTAACTTACAATTCTGTTGTTTCCCAACACAGCCCAGGTACCCCTCCCAAGTCACCTAACTCTAACAAAGCGTTACATCAAAATTAAACAAAAGCTAGCTTGATCCCTGTATTTACAACTATTTCTCCTATGCCTAATTACTACTGATTGGTTATAAATTCTAATCATTTGGTTGGCTAGAATATCAACTCTGATTGGCTACACATAAAATGATTTGATTGGGTGGGTGATTCAATACCTTTTTCAATCCACTTTACTAATTCTGATTTACTACATATTCATGTTTTCTGGCCCTGTGGTTCTTGAAATAGCATTACCAAAATGGTGATAAAGATAGTTACACATTAAATAAATATCTTGTATTTTTTCATCCTGGAACCCACACCAATTCTCTTTTTGATCATACCTTGTAAGTAAGAACAGCATCACAAAAAATTACATTGTTTAAAGTATCATAAACAAGAGGTCCAAGGGCCTTGAATCGCTCTTCTGATAAATTGTACAATCTATCACTTCTATTTGAAGCCTCTAGCCCTAAGTATCCTAAGACCCAGTTGCATCAACTGACAAAGTTTGATGATTCTTAGCCAATTAGGACTGAAGATATTTTTAATAATAAAGCTATAAAAAACCATAAGTACGTCACAGTGACCTACTTTAAGATTGAAGTTTTCTGAGGACTCAAGATGCATTAATAGACAAAGATTGAAGATTCTAAGCCAATACGTATTTGAGACATTTAAAAGTAGGTCACCGTGACCTACTTTTTTGTCTACATTCTTTGAAAACCCAAGATACATCAACTGACAAAGTTTGATGATTCTAAGCCAATAAGTACCTGATATATTCAAAAGTAGGTCACCATGACCTACTTTTTGGTCCACATTCTCCGAAAACCAAAGATGCCCCAACTGACAAAGTTTAACAATTCTAGGTCAACCAGTACTTGAGATATAAAAATAGCCATAAAATGTCAAAAGTAGGTCAAAGTGATGTAATTTTTGGTTTGCGATCCCCGAAAACTCAAGATGCATCAACTGACAAAGTTTGATGATTCTAAGCCGATATGTACCTGATATACTTAAATATACCCATAAAATGTCAAAAGTAGGTCACCATGACCTATTTTTTTGTCTACATCCTTGGAAAACCCAAAATGCATCTACTGACAAAGTCTGATTATTCTAAGCCAATAAGTACTCAAGATACTTATATATAGCCATATAATGTCAAAAGTAGGTCACTCCGACCTAATTTTTTGTAGACGATTTTCGAAAACCCAAGATACATCAACAGACAAAGTTTGATGATTATAAGCCAATAAGTACCTGAGATATTCAAAAGTAGGTCACCATGACCTACTTTTCGGTCGACATTCTCTAAAGACCCAAGATGCATCAACAAACAAAGTTTGATGATTCTAAACCAGTTAGTACCATAGATACTTAAATAAGGCCATTAAATGTAAAAAATTAGGTCACCGTGACCTACTTTCTGGACATCATTCTTAGAAAACCCAAGATGCATTAACTGATGAAGTTTGATGATTCTAAGCCAATAAGTACTGTAGATACTTAAATAAAGCCATGAAATGTCGCAAGTAGGTCACAGTGACCTACTTTTTGGTCGTCACTCTCCGAAAACCTAAGACGCATCAACTCACAAAGTTTGATGATTCTAAGCCAATAAATACCTAAGATACTTAAATAAAGTCATAAAATGTCAAAAGTAGGTCGAAGTGACCTACTTTTTGGTTGTTACTCTCCAAAAACCCAAGATGCATCAACTCACAAAGTTTGATGATTCTAAGCCAATAAATACCTAAGATACTAAAATATAGCCATAAAATGTTGAAAGTAGGTCATCGTGACCTACATTTTGGTCGACGTTTTTCGGAGTCCCAAGATGCATCTGCTGACCAAGTTTGATGATCCTAGGTCTGAAGGTAATCAAAATATGCCTTTTTAAACAATACAAAAACAAATGCCTGCAAAATTCAAAAAGTAGGTCACAGTGACCTACTTTTTCATAAATACATTTTAAGGTCCAAAGATGCATCAACTTACAAGATTTGATGATTCTAAACCTCTCAGGGTCTGAAATAATTGGATTAAATGTTATAAAAAGAATTAGTCATCAAGTTCAAAAAGTAGGTGATGGTGACCTACTTTTAAGTTGTCGTTGTTCAAGGACCCAAGATGCATCAACTGACAAAGTTTGATGATCATAGGCCTTAAAGTGTCCAAAATATGCCTTCAAATCAATTTTTTTAAAAATGCCCACAAAATTTAAAAAGTAGGTCACTGTGACCTACTTTTGAGTTAACATGATGTGAAGTCCTAAGATGTATCAACTTACAAGATTTGATGATCCTAGTCCTAAAACTAAGCAAAATATAAACGTTTTTATTATTTGTAAATTTAGGTCAACTTTGAAGTGACCTTGAGACCACGCCCTTTGCCCCAGGGTGATGCCTTGAACAATTTTTAATCTTCGACATATCCTGATCCTTGTATGTAAGTTTGGTGAAAATCTGCCTGGTGGTTCTGAAGAAGATTTTTTAGCAACCAGTACTTTTGGTTTTGTTTTCCTGATTATCTCCCCTTGTTTAAGGGTCCCAACCCTTATTTTAGTGTAAAAGGTAGCCCTTAGGCCAAGGATACCCTGTGACAAATTTGATACTGATTGGCCAAGGGGTTCTTGAGTTATGGCCCATATTCTAAAAAGTTAACTCACACCGCACAAATGGCCATAGCATTAGCTCTTTGAGCCTTTGGCTCAGAAGAGCTAAAAATGATATCAATATCAAGCTACCAATTTACCTATGATGTGTATTTCAGGGGTATGTATAATGATAATAAGCGAGTTCGGGATCCCAGGCGCGATGAGAATTCTGGGTAGGGTCAAAAGGTCAAGCGGGATAAAATGGATGGCGTTAGCGAGATTTCGTATGATGATTTCTTACGATGGAGGGTTCCGGAGCTAAAAGAATATCTCCGCGATCGAGGCCTCAAGACAACAGGCAGGAAAGTGGAGCTGGTAGCACTTGCCTTCGGTGCAAGCCAGATGAAGATCGAAACGAAAAAGGATTCTGTGGAGGAAAAAATGAAAAACAAACAAGACTACTTAGATTTGTTAAAGGTAAACGACGACCTTATACCGGACCCTCTATGCTTGAAGGGGTGGGTGTCGGAGCAGAATGGCATTTCGCAGTGGCCTCCCACTATGTACTTCGATATCGCTGAATATTTGACAACTACAGCACCTTCCACTTTCGGTGATCTGAGAAAGCGTCTTCTGACTGATTACAAGGAAGGAAAGGCGTATAGTTACTTCGATTCAAAGTTTCTGAAAGAACTTAAATACCATCCAATTAGCAAAGAATCAGCATATTGCATTTTGTCTGCATACTGCACCCCGTCTCAGAAAATTAATTCAACATTCCACACAGCTTGGGTGTGCTTGGACAAAAAGACGGGGTACATATGCAGAGCTTATTGTACCTGTTTTGCTGGGTAAGTAAATGGTATATAATGCATACAATGACTTTGTACATGCATGAATACGTAAGGGTTGATGTACAGATAGCACTCCATTCCTTAAAAGTACTAATAGTTAGTAGATCTATAATAGGTCGCACCGTCCCTGATGTAGTACATGCATGATCCTTGCTTATATTTAAATAATAGGGATTACATGCACAATCACAGACACTTTAATATAAAAAATATACCCCTACTAATAATAAATATTAGGTAAGGGTATATTTTTTTATTTAAGTAATTAAGAAAAAGAAGTAACGTCAGGTGCCTGTGCTTACATTGTAGATTTATATCTAGACTCATGTCCAGGGGTAGTTCAATCTTTATTTATTTCACCCTTTATTTTTCGCTTGGCCCTCCATAAACAAACACTGTATTTATATAAAAAAAAATTGGAAGACAAATACTGTGTACATGTAAAAACATTCAAATGTATAAATACATGTATCAATATATTTAGCATAACATTTTTGTATTGTCATGATACTTAAGATTTTATAAATTAAATTTCTGACAAATTGAACCTGAGGGGCTTTTAAAATTATTAATGTACATGTAGAGCTCAGAAGACTTATAGTCAGGATTTTTTTTTCAGTTTAGGGTCTACATGTAACCATATAGCAGCTATCTTGTTTAAAGTGGATTTTGCATGGCAGCATGGTATGACACAGAAAACATGTACATCTTTACCTTGCAAGTGGAATGTGCCATCTTTGCTAAACAACATCCAGCATAAACCCATATCAGAGTTAGAATGGCGCAAACCACATTACAGTAAGAAAGGTATGTATAAAAACTGAGCATATTGAATGTTCTTCAACTTGAATGTAAATAAATGAAACAGCTTTGTGACAATTAATTCCCATCAACCATGTTGCATATACAGTCCTTGAACATTTGACCCCATGACCTTGAAGGGTGACCATGACAATATGCAATAAATAATTGCAACCAAATCTGCTTGGTCATGATGAATGGCCTTATAATGTTTATAGGCTCATAATAGTGTTTGAAACTCACTCTAAAATCAGCTGGACATATATAATAGGGCTGCTTGCTAGTGAAAGTTGTCAGCCCTGCCAAAGTTGTGAGCCCCAAAAATAATTGTCTTTTATTAGTAAAGTTCCTTTTACTGGCTTTTAGCAATATTGTGAATGGGGCCAGCTCACTATATATTCGATACCAGACTTTTAAGTAGATGAATTCTACCGTGCCTCCAGGATGTCAATATGTGCTATTAATTCTGTTCACTCCTGACAAAATATAAAACTTTGCTTATAATACGAAATTATATTTGAAAAAAAGATAATTCCACTTCTTATATTTGTAGGTGAAAAAAAGACAATAAATCCAATGGTTAGAACTTTATTCAACCCATCAAGATCTAAGGAATCACCGAACTTAGAGAGTTTGTTGCATGCACTATATGACAGCTGTCCTTCCTCCTGTGCTTTCCAGTATGCTCTTCCACTATCTACACCAACTTTCTCCCCAGAGGATGATGTCAATGTTGGTACAGTTGTTGAATGTGAAACAGGGGCTTTCATACCTCCTTCCATTTCTTCACAAGGTATAAATTAAAATAGATATACAATGTCTTAGGTATTTTTAAACATCTATTGAAATGTAAATAATGGGTCGGTCACTTATTAAATTCCATCAAGCCCGAAGGTTGTGGCAATGGAAATCTATGTTTCTGAGCAATCTAATTGAAATTTATAGGGGGTTAAATTAGATCCACTCGTATACTTGCTACACTAACATCTAACAACATCCCATTGAGGGTCACATCAGAGTTCAAATTCTATCAACCAATCAAATCATTGCCTGTAAAATCATTGTAAATTATTGAGCGAATAAGTCTAGAGATATTCCAAATTTGACCTCTGACGTGACCCTCTATGCGATGTTAGTGTAGCCAGTATGCGAGCGGACCTAACCCCCTTATTTTAGTTAGATTGTGTGTCTGAGTTAGTTGTTTAGACTTTTTGCCATAGTTCTCACAGGACAGGCCTAACATCAGTTTACTTAATATTATATGCAAAATTGAACTGAAATAAAAATTAATCTGCAATAAATCAACTTTTTTTCTAAAGCAAAAGATTGCAGTAGTGTAGATGAGCTACTAGAGAAATTGCCAACATTTACTCCAGACCAAGCTGAAGCATTGGAAAAGTCTACCAGAGGACAATGGCAATCACCCCCTGTGGAAAGAACAGCGACAAGGAAGGATAACAGCTTCTTTGGTATACAGAGTAGTGACAAGAATGCATACTGCTGAAAGAAAACCAGACACTGATACCACTAATCTCATCAAAAGTGTCCTAGGTATGCATCAAGAAATATCCTTAAAAATCAAAAACATTTTTCTCCCTACCAAAACAATATTAGTATTTCTATGATCTTAGTATGAAGTCATCTGCCAGAAAAAATAATAATAATAGTTAAATTGAGGGGAAAAAGACAATTGATAATCCTTAAGTAGTATATCGCAATGAAGAATTTCTTTGAAAGCAGAATTCTAATAATACATGCATGTATATATATATATATATATATATATATATATATATATATATTATATATATATATATATATATATATATATATATATATATATATATATATATATATATATATATATATATATATATAATCCAAAAGTTTGAAAAAAATCCACACAAGTATTTAAATAGTAAAAAATAACAGAACGCCGATTAAAACTCTTCCGGTTTCAATTGTATCATCAGTTTTTCTCCTGATGATACAATTGAATCCGGTAGAGTTTTAATCGGTGTTCTGTTATTTTTTACTATATATATATATATATATATATATATATATATATATATATATATATATATATATATATATATATATATACCGGTAATTGTTAAAGCTATTTTATTTTTGAAGGGTACATAATTTAATTCTATAATTGATTAATTGTAACACACAATTAGTTCATATACTGAGTAAGGCCAATATAAATAAATAGTGTGTTCCCTCTTCTAACCTTAGAAAAAATAGGGTAGGTGGGTAGGTAAAACATTTTACTTTATTTAAATATTTTATTCAATAGCAAGAACACTGCCATTTTTACCATGGAAATAAATGTCAAAACATTTCTTCCCAATGTGTATAGGATATGCATCTTCTCATACACAGAAGTGATTGAAATTAAGATTTCTAAAAGCAAAATGGATTTGTTTACTTTCAGAAAGATACTAGTATTGGTGGATAAAATTAAATTTTTAGGGTCGATTGGGGAACCGGAAACACAATTTATTTATCTAGGCCTAACCTGTTTCACTTTTGTACTCGACTATATTACAGTAAGACTTGCTTCAAAAACATCATAATATGATTGCAGAATTTAAAGTGATTTAAAAAAAAGAAGAAATTGTCTTATTTTTTATCCCGTACATTATGAGATATTCAAAATACTCCAGTTATACAGTATAACCTGTTATACATACATGGCAATTGTGTATTTCAGGCATTACCAAACCAAATGAAGATTTGCCAGCCTTAAAATATGGTAGGGTCATGGAGTCAGAGGCAAAACTCGAGTACATCCAAGTTATGAAAACGGTCAAGAAAGCTAATGTCATTGTGAATGAATGCGGTTTATTTGTCCTTTTGGAAATGATCTATTTAGGAGCTACTCCTGATGGTATTGTATATGATTCTACCTCATCTTCTGAGGGGGTTTTGGAGATAAAGTGTCCATATAGAATAGCCAATGACAATCCCTCCCACCAAAACCTTGATTACTTAGAAAAATGTGAACACGGCAGCCGGCTCAAATGCAGTCACTCGTATTACTATCAAATACAAACCCAGCTTGGAATGACAGGAAAAAAATGGTGTGACTTCTTTGTTTATACAAAGGCGGGATATTTCTTGGAGCGCGTGCACCTGAATCAAGAGGTCTGGGATGAAATCAAAGCTTGTGTGAAAGAATTTTTTACAAAACATTTAGCACAAAAACTAGTTAGCTAGGGATGTAGGTGAACAAGCCTTGTGGAATTCCAATAGGGTGACAAACATGAAGATGATTAAATAACAATAATAAACTGCTTTTAGTGTTTAAGAGGGTGACATGCCATTATTTATGGCATATTATGTCAAATATGAATGCCCTTTCATATGTCATTTCACAGTAATCATACATGAAGGTCAAGGCCAAGGGCTAAAAGATCACAAAATACATAATGAAAACTTTAATCAAGTAATTTACAAAATGAATATGATATTAAAAAATTTGAATCTTTGAATCTCTGGCATTCTTCATGCTATGTTCATCAAACTCCTTTGAGTAAATTTGGATTTTAATTTGGAAACAAACAGTGTTCTCTTTCATATTTTATTGATATATATACCAATTTATGCAATATTTTTTGTCAATGTTGATTTAATATGATTAAGACCTACATGTTATACATATAATAAATGTATCAAAGCATAATGAAAATTATCAATGAGAAAATTTTTATGAAAAAATGTCTACTGACTTCCATTGTATTAGTCTCTATTTTTCGAAAAAATCTTCATTATTTTTCTTTTTTATGAAATTAGTTGTTGTAAATACATAATACTGTATAAATTTGCATATATATATATGCTCAAGGTAATTTACATTTTTTAAAGTTGACGATCAAAACAGTTTAGACATGCAATTAAATCACATTGCTATCAATAATAAAAATCACTTGAAAAAATTAGCATTTCTATTTTTCATCATTTTGTATTTTCAATGATGTACCACTGTCGATGATGTCCCTCCAGTAAGGGCCTACCTTGTAACCAGAGGTTTGAGTAAGTTACAAAGACTTGCACAAACAGAAACAATGTCATCTACAAGGGGAACCAGAGTAATTGGTAGTGTTTTCTTCAAAATGGCAAGCCACTTGATCCTGTTAATGGCTCGTTCGACATGGATATGTACATTAGTGATACTTTTTGTTTTTTCTACATTTTCTCTAGTCATTTGTTGAATGCCGGATCCTGGAGGTGGAATAACCAAATTTGCATACCGGAGCGAAAGTTCCTCTCGAATTGGAAAGCCTCTGTCAGCTAAGATAATGTCGCCAGGATCTATAAGATCAAGAAAAGATGATTCACGGACAATCTGTCTGTCTGACATCCTTCCTCCATAACACTTACTTAAGAAAGAAATAGCTCCATTAGGAGCTATTCCAATAAGTACTTTAACTGTGTTGTGTTGTTTATAATCGGACCACGTGAGAGCTTGTAGTTCCAAATGTCTTGGCTTTTCAATAAAAACTTCAGTGCAGTCTATTGTGCATCTAAGTTTGGCGTATTGTTTTATTAATGATGGAGGTAGTAATTTTCTGACAATTTCTTTGTCTGGCCAGAAGATTAGAGGCCTTAACTCTTTGGACAGAAATTTTATCCAAGTGTTAAAAATCTTTGAACATGTACCCTGAGAGACTCCAAATAAGTCGGCTAAAAATTCAAAGTTAATATCTAGTCTAAGTTTCATTAATGTTAAAACGAGCTCATCAAGTGCACCAAGTTTTTTCTCTGGACCACTCTTCTTTGGCGATTTCTTGAAATGACGAGGTACCTTGGTACTGATCACTTTTTTAGAGCCCTCCCAATATCTCAGGCGATGGGTTTTGAGTTTTAAATATTTATACAAGTTCACAAGAGTTGACTTATTTGGAAGGCCAGTGTTTGCTCTTACTTTTTTATCTGTTTTTATGAACCTTTTGTGCACATTCTTCTTTCCATGGAGTTTACTTTCATTTGATGAGACCACTTGTTCCAACTGATAAGTAAGATTGTTTATAATTTTAGATTTCTGTAAACATCCAAAACACTCGCAGTTTGCATTACAAACACATTTTGCACAATAATCATGCTCAAATTGTAAAGGAACTGAACATGTCACTGAATTATCTTCTGTTAGACGGACAACATTGTCATTTTCATCAGTTTTAACCTTGGTTTCTAAAGATTTCTTAGATTTTTGTATTAATGGCTGTCTTTCCTTTGGGGGAGGCCTGAGTTTTAATGGCATGGTTAGTTCATACCCAAGGTGTAATGTTGGGACAGGATTGCCTCCTTCAAAATGTTTTGAACATATTCTACTGTCATCATCAGGCTTCCAATTTTTTCCAGGTTTCAACTGTCTATTAACTAATTTAATCCATTTTCCTCTTAATTCAGGGTCTTTTCTTTCTGTTGGAAAGGGAATCAGATCAAATGCGGGAGGGCACACACAAGATCCTGTACCACTGTTGCACTGGTGCACTTCACAAAATGTCTTTTTCCATTTTTTGAGTTGGTATGTGCTGCTTGGGCAGTCTTTAATGGCACAAATCCTCATTCTTTCAACTGGAATTCAAAAGTTTAAAGATTATAACTCAATATTGACCGATCTTTAAATATGAGGACATACATAGATGTAGAAGTAGAAGTCGGAATGCTATCGTGACAAAAATAGATTAGTTTATTGTACAGTACCTAATTGGTTAGAAATCTGTTACATGTAAGTATACTTTAACGTATATGTTAATTCAATGTACAGAAGAGAACTTGATTCAATTTACTTTTGATGGAAGTATCCGTAATCACAATTTAAATGAGAGAAAAAAATAGCAACAGTATTTTGACCTAGTCACTGCTCTCTCTCTCCTCGTTATACATGCACCCATTAGATCTACTGTCCTTCGTGTTATAAACATGATAAACCGCCTTTACAGGAAAATTATATCAAATCTTGACATAGTGTGCCTAAATACCTATGCACATTAACTCTTTAACGATGTCCACTCATGTGATTGTGTATAATACGAAAATTAACCGTTATACTTACGACATTAGCAGTCAGTACCACAGCGATATTGCTTTTCTTCGACGTTGTTTTTATCCCGAATGACCTATGACCCGGAAGTGTTTATCGGAACTCTCGGCATGTGCAAAATGGCATGTCGATAAGACTTATTAATATTGTGTTATCAATTTACCTATGATGTGTATGTCAGGGGTAGGTATAATGATATCAATATCATGTTATCAATTTACCTATGATGTGTATGTCAGGGGTAGGTATAATGATATCAATATCATGTTATCACTTTACCTATGATGTGTATGTCAGGGGTAGGTATAATGATATCAATATTGTGTTATATTTACATCCACTGAATATTTTCTCCTTTGTTTCTTAAGAAAACCCATTGCGTTAATCACTGCATGAACTACATCAGGCATGTCGCCTGTACAGATTTCTTGATCAGTGGCTGTTCCATCAATGAAACGTATAAAGACGTTCGCATCATTAATACAATAATTAAACTTTTTAATCCTTCTTTAAATGATTATTTAAACAAATATAAATATAAACAATAAAATGTCTTTCTTTGTTTATTATTACTGGAATTAACGGTCGCAGCTATTGCAGAAAAAATTTACATAACCCACTTACGCGAGTTATGTATTTTTTCTGCAACAGCTGCTTCCGTTAATTCCAGTAATAACAAACAAAGAAAGCATTTTATTGTTTAAATCAATTTACCCATGATGTGTATGTCAGGGGTAGGTATAATGATATCAATATCAAGCTACCAATTCACCTATGATGTGTATGTCAGGGGTAGGTATCATGATATCAATATTGTGTTATCAATTTACCTATGATGTGTATGTCAGGGGTAGGTATAATGATATCAATATTGTGTAATCAATTTACCTATGATGTGTATGTCAGGGGTAGGTATCATGATATCAATATTGTGTTATCAATTTACCTATGATGTGTATGTTAAGGATATGTATAATGATATCAGTATTGTGTTATCAATTTACCTATGATGTGTATGTCAGGGGTAGGTATAATGATATCAATATCATGTTATCAATTTACCTATGATGTGTATGTTAAGGATATGTATAATGATATCAATATTGTGTTATCAATTTACCATTGATGTGTATGTCAGGGGTAGGTATAATGATAACAGTATCATGTTATCAATTTACCTATGATGTGTATGTCAGGGGTAGGTATAATGATATCAATATTGTGTTATCAATTTACCTATGATGTGTATGTCAGGGGTAGGTATAATGATATCAATATTGTGTTATCAATTTACCTATGATGTGTATGTCAGTTGTAGGTATAATGATATCAATATTGTGTTATCAATTTACCTATGATGTGTATGTCAGGGGTAGGTATAATGATATCAATATTGTGTAATCAATTTACCTATGATGTGTATGTCAGGGGTAGGTATCATGATATCAATATCATGTTATCAATTTATCCATGATGTGTATGTCAGGGGTAGGTATAATATCATTATCATGCTACCAATTTACCAACGATGTGTACGTCAGGATTTTCAATGTAGTGGTCAATAAGGTTCCCGATGTTGTCCGAGTCCAGCACTTGTGACGCTTGTTGACCTATCATAACCAAGATGTCCCCGCACCGCTCCGTGATCCTCTCGTCTTCGTGATTAGACATCAAACGCTGGACACTTAGGATGAGCGGCTTGCACGTACTGAGTGTATTGCTGTCCCTTTTCTGAAGCAGAGACGGACTGATATTATATCCAATCCAGATTACGTTGTACAATATATCAATCTAACGTTCCTTGGAATTTAATGCTTATTACTTAGATCTGCCAAATTATTCTACCTTATTTTACCTGATTACTGTAGACGTACTTTTATCTGCATGGGATTAATTTATGCTATGAAGGCGGACACAATTTTTCTGCAGAAAATTATCACAGCGCAGGCACTAGCAACAGGGGGGCCAGGGGGGGGCCTGCCCCCCCCCCACTTGTTTTCCCAACATTATTCATACTATAGGGAAGATTCATTAATTCATTGAAAGGCTGGGCAGTTTCCTTTTTTTTTTTTTTGTTTGTCAACTTTTTCAGGTAAGTAAAAAAATTTCTCTGGTTGCCCCCCCCCCCCCCTCCCCCCACTTTCAAAAATGATGCTAGGTGGCTGCAGCGTAGTTTAAGTATATTTAGGAATGAAATTGCACTAAAAGAATGAGAATATGAAAAAGCAGGGACCTATATACAAGTTAGTATATAGTATGCATTTGATTTAATTGGGCCATTACGCATGCCCCAAAATTTAATTCGAATTAGCTTCGCTTAGGGTTCACAAGGAGATAATGCTAAGTAATTTAATGCGCAGTAAATTAATTCGAATCAAACTAATTCACATTAAATTCGCCGTGTGAACACTAGGCGAAGCTAATTCGCAGTAAACTTACGTTTAATTCGAATTAAACTCTCCGTGTGAACAGGGCATTAACCTCTGAAAAATTAAATTTGCAAGTGATAGCACATGTTCAGTCCTTGTAAAAATAAAGAAGAGAAAATTACTTTCTTTTTATACTTGTGAAAGATTCACAGATATTCCCAAGCTTCTGTTTGTACGGACAGGTGTGTGTTAATCCACATGACTTGATTCCAGTGTTGATAATCGTAGATGTACGTATACAGTATGTGTTTATGGAATTCATTCCCCTTTTTAAAAAAACTTTATTTGAAATTGATGTATGTAAACCTCAAGAATTATTTCATGATCATTCGTAATTTTGTGAGCTGGAGGGAACGTATGTGTATGTTGTTCCGAGTCATTTGAATGTTGTTGTTCGTTGAAAAAATTGTATATTCATAAGGCAGACAAATTTTAGGGATAAACTAATATTTTTCTCATATATTCAGTATAGGTACAATATGTATTTTTGGCATTCAAAGATTTCCACATAATTTTTTACCCACGGATCAAACTAATGTTGTGATTCCGTGGAATTATGACCTCGTGGAAATAAATACGTCTACAGTATTAAGTTTAGCAGAGGTGTCTCAGGGATTTTGCTATAAAGTAGTTTTTTTTACATTTCATATACATGTACATGGATCAAATATTTAATATGGTTTACAATATTGATAGCTATGAACAATTTGTATCTTTGAATGACCATTCTCAATCAGAATAATCACTAATCAAAGTCAAGATATTACAAGTTAAATTGATGCAAAGCATCAAATCGGCCGCAAACAAAATTTAGCATAAACAAATTTCTTTTACAATTTTCAAAGTGTCCATGAAAGGAAAGCACGTCTAAATACTAGTATTAAAAGGTGAAATAGTTGATTCATTTTTATTTTAGGCTGTCTTCAAAGCAAAATAAATAATTAATTAAAATTAAAAAAATAGACATTTACCCCATTTGCTTATAAATAGATTCATCGATGTAAAAAGGGCAGCAATAAATGATAAGAATTTATTGTCATCAAAATAAAGATGTAGGTATCTCAAGATGAACCAGGTGCTGATACCCTGGATCTTGGTCACGTGATAATGCCCATGGCTGTGCTGCAAGGCGCAGTACAAAATGTAGAAAAATTTCTTTGTGTTATTTGCAGCCGTAGAGCATGTTCAAAACAATTTTTACTGGTTGAAATTTTTTTCAATTTTTATTCACCAATCCATGCACATTTACACGTCATTTTTATCCGGAAAATCATGACGATTTCCTTTCATATCTTATACACTCCCAGGCTGGGGAGTATCTATTGTTAACTCTTTTTACATAACCATAAATTATCAATTATCTGATGAGAAATGATAAAGAAATTGAAACATAGTAGCAACAATTAACACTATATTCAAAGCAATTTTTGAAAATATTTTACTCATGGTTTTCTACTTGTTATCATTTGAGAAATATTTTCCTGACCTAATGAAAAATAACGTCTCATTTCCCCATGTGCACTTTCTAACACAATCACAAATAGATCGGCCGCTGCTGCGGCCGATAATAATATCTAGTGCATAAAACTTTTGTAAAAGTTGTTTGACAATAAGAGGAAAGATAGTTCACTCACTGTACGGACAAATCTTGCAAGTATATCTGTGGCAATGATCCCAAACACGGTCACCTGACCATTGGACCAATCACAGAGCTCCCGTTCCTCCTCCATACAATACAGAATCATGTCAATCATTTTCTGGTCTACCTCCGAATCGTTAAATTGTTTGTCTCTAAAATGGACAAAAAAGGGTTTAAATGATTAAATACTGTAAACATATTACATTTGGCTGTGTATTCTTTTCAGCGCCTTTGGCAGAAAGAAACTTCTGCTAATTCAGTACAACATTAAATATCTTGCACATATATACTTTTAAATAAGAACATCAAGAAATCTAGATCAAATCTATGCTAACTTGTTCAAAATTCAGTTTCCGCCAAATATTGTACATGCCAAATATAACACATTTACAGTAACAGAATTGAGAAAGTCACTCAGTAAAAGAATAAAAGTTCCTGTATTCTATCTTCTCATTATCATATTTATCGTTCTAAAAATAATGCTGATCTTTGTCTTAATGAACTTAGCTGTCATTCTCAGCCTTTTTTCCAAATTGATAATACTTTATACATGTGATGATTGTAGATTAGAAATTGTGTGAAATAATTAACATAAAGCTATGATTAAATGACAAATGATAACTTTTTAACCTTGACATTCACTAACTGCTTCAAAAATTGAGTGTCTTAATATTTTCCTGTAAGAAGTCTTTGGTAAAAAAATAAAGACCTATTGCATAAAAAAAAATTAAAACTATCATGACCTTTGACCTTGAACAAGTGATTTGAAAGTAATGGTCACCTACAGGCACCTGACATTACTTATTTTTCTTTTAATAAAAAAATGTACCCATATCTTCTAATAATAAACAAGGTACCCATTGAGACCGCCATCTTGGATTTTCGAAGTAGGTCATTCACTTGTATTTTCGGCTGAAACTCCGTTATATAAATTCCTTGCAACCATATTCTTTCTGTTTGCAGTCTTTCGAGGTCTAAACTTACGGCCAGTACAACCAGAAGGGCGCATCACCCTTGCAAATATTAATAAGAGGCCCACGGGCCTTATAGGTCACCTGAGTATCATGTAACAACTTTCCAGCGATTGTATTCGGTTCGTGTTTTAATCCAAAAGCCATGAAATTCACAAATTTTGAAAGAGGCACCATTGCTTATCAAAGGGCAGATTTCAAAGCATTAATTTATTTTTAGTCAAAGTACCCCCCTGGTACCCCTGACCCAGCGGCCCTGAAATCATCTAATTTGAAAGAGGCCCCTTTCTTCATTATAAGGCCAGCATTTGTTTAAGTTTAGGTTTAGTTATGAACATGAGAATAAAAAAGTCCCCAAGGAGAAGGAAATAAAAATTTTTTTTTGATAAATCAATTATTCAATCTCCCATGCAGAGTTGTCGTTCGTTCCTCTCTCAGACACCTCTGCAATGGGCTCACGTCAAGATTTTTGACATAACGTATAAAATGTGATATTTGCAGGATTGTTTCATTCAAATTAAATTATTAATTCTGGATTGATTTATTAAAAAAATGATCTCAAAACTCAGACATAAGCATAGAAATTGAATTGTTATGAATTTAATCAAACGTACTATTTCTCGTGTTTATCACTGTTATATACGCGAGCCAACGACAGAGGTGAATGTATGAGCCGATGGTAGAGAGTGTCAATTATTAACATTTGTACATTCTTTTTTTATGCTATTGTAATAGGCCCCTCACCACTGGACACGTAATGCTTACAAACAGGAAAGTAGAACATTTAATTGCTTATTTCATCATCTGCCAGTTTGGGCCAGTTTTTAAAATTTTGTGATGTTGGTCAAAATATATTTTTAAAAATCAATTCTTTAAAAGTCTTTCAATATATCTTCATTTTTTAAATATGTGTTAGGTGAATGTGTAAACATTGTTCTAAAATTTACTTGATGCCTAAAATTATAATTCCTATCATAAAACAGACAGTGAGTATTGGGGAGTAGGGTGAACATTTTTTCAATTAAGTGTAAAATAATTTTTCTGGCTGATACAAATGATACTACATTTCTGTATATATTTGTATATTCATGCCTTTTAATAGTTGATTTTTTTTAATTTCTTCAGGTTATTGTTTATTTCTTCCTCAAATGGACTTAACTTCTCCCATAGTTTTATTCATTACATCTGATGAATAAGCAACCCTTTTCTGAAGAATGATGCTTAGACTGTAAGCTATAACAGAGACCTAAACAATGTCGCTGGCAATATGCAATAGCTACCACGGGCAGTTTAAAACCTGGGGGAGGAAAATAATTTACACACAGATACTTTTGAAACGAATACATAATTATCTCACCAGCATGTCATTGTGCAACGAAGTCGTCAGCATTTTATTTGTCCTTTGAACGGGTGAAACGTTTTGAATGGCACTCGTATCGATGAATTTTACACTAAACCAAGCCATCTTCTCAGATCTAGCTTTATTTACCCGCCGTTTCATCTTAAAACCGGAAGTGCGAGTTCGTAAATTTGAAATCTCAATCCCGACTCAAATTTGACATCGGAAAGAAAAAATTGTTTTATTTTTTTCTGAAAATTCAAAACCTTGAGTGGAGGGTTTGTAAAACTGAAAATAAAAAAAATATTGGCCTTAAATATGTAATTAGATCATTTATTTAGCATATTAACCAGGAGTAAAGGATAAGATGTTCAAAGAATTCATGCATTTCACTATATAATCATTAGAGCCCCACCCTAAAACAAGAACTCCTGACCCTGGGGCCATAAAATTCACAATTTTGGTAGAGGCACTCTTGCCCATCATAACTATGTACTTAGTTTATTTAATACCCAGGAGCAGAGAAGAAGATTTTCAAAGAATTCATGTATTTTCCCTATATAATCAATAGAGCCCCGCCCTAACACCAGAACCCCTGACCCTGGGGCCATAAAATTCACAATTTTGGTAGAGGCACTCTTGCTCATCATAACTATGTACTTAGTTGGTTTATTTAATACCCAGGAGCAGAGAAGCAGATTTTCAAAGAAATAATGCATTTTCACTACCTACTTATTTAGCCCCGCCCTAGCACTAGAACCCCTGACCCCAGGGCCATGAATTTCACAATTTTGGTAAAGGACTCATTGCTGATTACAATCATGCAAACAGTTTGACTGCTTGATGTCCAGGAGTAAAGAAGAAGATTTTTAAAGATTGCATTAATTTTAGTGGTTTTGGCCCCACCCCTCAGGCCCCAGGGGGGCAGGGATCATGAAATTCATAATTTTTGTTCCCCTTCACTCATAAATGCTTTGTGCCAAATTTGGTTGAAATTGGTTCAGTGGTTGCAGAGAAGAAGCTGAAAATGTTAAAACGTTAACGCACAACGGACGACGCACGACGACGGACGAAAACAGATAGCAATAGGTCACCTGTGTTTACTCAGGCGATTTCTCGTATTGTTGAAGCAGTAGATAGAGTTTGGCAAGTGATTTTTAATATTTGCAAGGGTGCTGCGCCCTTCTGGTTGCACTGGCCATAAGTTTAGACCTCGAAAGACTACAAACAGAAAGAATATGGTTGCAGGGAATTTATATAACGGAGTTTCAGCTGAAAATACAAGTAAATGACCTACTTCGAAAATCCAAGATGGCGGTCTCGATGAGTACCTTGTTTATTATTAGGTATGGGTATATTTTTTTATTTAATAAAAGGAAAATAAGTAACGTCAGGTGCCTGTGTGGTCACCTACACAGAAAATGTGGAGTTGTGTAACTAAGATAACAGATTATAAGATAATTACATGTACTTACTCATAATAAATTGAGTTAACAAGGTAGCTGATGAATACAGAACCCAGGTAGCTCTGTGAACTGTTGTCCCAAGGAACATTGTCATCCTTCAGCAACACCATAAAGCGATCCAAGTACTGACCCATCAAATCTTTGTTGTGCTGTAATATAATTATACAGTTTATACAGTAAAACTCGGTTATAGCGAAGTCCTAGGGACCTGTGACTTTAATTCGCTATATCCATAATTCCTTATATCCGTATTCGTATAACCATTATAGCGAATTCGCAATATGGATGTTTTCCTTCAAGTATTACTACAAAAAATATTAGGGAAAGCTATATTACAAAAATATCTTCCATAACTAAGGTTTTATTATGAATTGGATTTTATATAAAAATTCTTGAAGGAAATAAAGTCAGTTCTATTTATTAATTTTTTTTATAATCTTTGAAAGTTTGTTATAAAAGATGTAAATTTCATTATATTTAACCTCTACGGGACTCAAAATCAGTTCGCTATATCCGTAAATTCGTTATATCAGAGTTCGCTATAACCGTAAAATTTTACAAAGATTTTCTAAGAATTTTGCCAGGGACCCAGAAAAACTTCACTTTATCCGTGAATTCGCTATATCCGTGTTCATACTAAACGAGTTTTACTGTATATGTAGGACTCCAAACTCCGATGGTCACGCCAAAGTCCGATGGTCTGCACCAAACCCCGATGGTTTGACACGCCAAAGTCCAATGGTGCGGAAATCAGTTAACTTTTATGACATCATTGTAGAACTGCTCCAAACCTCAATGCCGCGCCATGCCAAGGTCTTTAAAATAAGTATAAATAAATGCGAAAACTAACCCTTATCTCTCAGACAGGTGCGAGACTAACGCTCAAAAAGTGTGTATTAACAATAACCTAAATATCTTGAGTGGGGGCAAGACTAACCCTAATCACTTGACTAGTGTGCAAGGACTAACCCTAATTCACTCGGGTTGAGCAATGCAAGGACTAACCCTTAAATCAATCGAGTGGTGAGCGAGGACTAACCCTCATATATCTGGAAGGTGCAAGCAATAAGCAAAATCAATAAAATTGTATTCGAGGACAAATTCAGAAATGATTGCTTTTGAATGCAGGAAAAATGCAAGGATTATTGTGACGTCATAAACGTTGATTGTTCATCCAAAACAAAGGACTTTGGCGTGTCAAACCATCGCACTTCAGCGCAACGTGTCTCATAGGAAATGAGCCATCGGACTTTGGAGTGACCATCCGACTTTGGCGTCCGTAATGACAGAAAGCTATCGGGGTTTGGCGCAGACCATCAGGGTTTGGTGAGACCATCGGATTTTGGCATCCGTAAAGACAGCGAGCCATCGGGGTTTGGCCCAGGCTATCGGGGTTTGGCCCAGGCTATCGGGGTTTGGCGAGGCCATCGGACTTTGGTGTCACCATCGGACTTTAGAGTCTTACATATAAATAAATGTCATAGAGAGGTCCAGATACTGACCAATCAGATCTTTGTTGTGCTGTAATATAAGTATACAGTTTATATATATAAATGTCACAGAGAGGTCCAGATACTGACCAATCAGATCTTTGTTGTGCTGTAATATACCGGTAAGTACACAGTTTATATATAAATGTCATAGAGAGGTCCAGATACTGACCAATCAGATCTTATAAGTTTACGGTTTACATAATTCCTCACCTGCAGGATGCCATTGTAGCTTCTACATCCATCAATGATATAATATCTCACCTTCAGTGATGCCTTTGAGGCTGCTTCATTTGTCAGTTTATATAATTCTTCTACTAAGTCATGTTTCTCCAATAGTTTCATACATAGCTCTATTACCAGTACTTCACAACTTTTTTGGGCTTTACAGTTTCTATTAAAAAAAAAAGCTAAAGTTATAGAATATATGCTACACAAATGTAGCTGTTATTATATAATAATTGAGGATAACTGTGATGGTCATTCTATAATAACAGAGGATAACCTTGGTAGTCATTTTATAATGACAAGGAAAACTGCAGTAATCATACAATAACAACAGAGGATAACTGTGATGGTCATTCTATAACAACAGAGGATAACTGTGATAGTCATACAATAATAACAGAGGATAACTGTGATGGTCATTCTATAATAACAGAGGATAACTGTGATAGTCATACAATAATAACAGAGGAAAACTGCAGTAGGCATTCTATAACAACAGAGGATAACTGTGATGGTCATTCTATAATAACAGAGGATAACCTTGGTAGTCATTTTATAATAACAAGGAAAACTGCAGTAATCATACAATAACAACAGAGGATAACTGTGATGGTCATTCTATAACAACAGAGGATAACTGTGATAGTCATACAATAATAACAGAGGATAACTGTGATGGTCATTCTTTAATAACAGAGGATAACTGTGATAGTCATACAATAATAACAGAGGAAAACTGCAGTAGTCATTCTATAACAACAGAGGATAACTGTGGTAGTCTTGCTATAATAACAGAGGTTAACTATGGAAGTTAGAATATTTTAACAGTGGATAATTTCAGTAAGTGTACAAGAATTGCCAAGAACTGTTTAGTACACCTACTTGAGTTTTTCCATGAGGTAGTTCACTAGGTCCCCACCAACACTTGCAATTTCTTTTAATTCATCTATTTCACTGAACTTATCGAAATCCATGTCAATCAATGTCTGCAAAATTTCCTGAGCTGCCTTTGTGTTTTCCTGTTAATTAAAACATTCTGAAGAATCAACTAACCTATACATAAATTTCTACTTGTGTAAATCATACCTTAATTTATTCAAGTCAATGCAATAGGTTTGGTATTTACATATGACAGCATATGAATATGTGTATATGCAACAGCTTCTGTATACTGTAAAATCACAAATTTTCGTTGGGGTTCAATTTTCGTTGTTTTCAAGATATGAAGAGACCCACGAATTCATGTCCACCATGAAATGTAAAATGTTACATACATTAGTACTCAACAATTCTTAGTCCACGAAATCAAATCCCCACAAACCAAAGGTTTTTCTCAAACCAGGAAAATTTGATCCCACGAAAATATATGATTTTACAGTATATAAGCTCAAATCATCCATTGTCACACACATTTCAGAAGCAACAGCTTTAGAAGAACAGAATTTTTGGATTGATCTACCTTCCAGATCCATTCAGACAGCGAACCCACTGGTCATCTCTAATCACTCTACAAGCTGCTTCCATGGTTACTGGGATCTGCCACTTCACACAGTTAACTAAAATTGGGATCCACAGCTTCTCATATTTTCTGCAAAAGACAAAAACAATCAAAGGCCTGAAAGGACTGGTATTCAAAGATTGTCAAGATTAAATTAAACTAGAAATATGTCCAGAGGACATGAATGTCCTGCCAAGGGTATATTAGTAATGCAACATGAAAATTTGTATTAGTGTATGAAATTTGATAAGAATATCTTGGATATATATGATAAATTCTCACAAAATTATGTACAAGTGCATAAGCTTATATAAATACACCTTAAATGGTTTCTTTAAAACTAAGCAAAATGCAAATTTAAGAAAAGTGAGGTCAAAGTCACAGGAAAGTTCAAGGTCAAAATTTTTTATGCTGTTGAATAGTTCTCATATAAACATATCAAGCTTGATAAAAATAATTTAAATGTTATATTTACAACTGAGATAAACACAAATTTAAAATAAATGAAGTAAAGGTCAAGGGAAAGGCCAAGGTCAAAAAAATATTATGCAGTTGAAAAGCTTACTGATCTTAGATCAGTATGTATTTAGCATATAAGGTTGATAAAAATATAATGAATGTTTTCTTTAAAACTGAGATAAATGAAAGGTCAAGGTAAAAAATGTTGATGCTGTTGAGTTGATTACATCAGTATAATGTATCAGCATATGTAGTTTGATACTGATTCAAGAAAAGTGAGGTCAAGGTAAAAAAATGTTGATGTAGTTGAATAGGTTTCATCGATATATATCCACATTTTATCAGTATGTATCAGCATTTTGAGTTTGATAAAAATATCTTGAATAGCTTCTTGAAAACTGAGTTAACTACGAATTTAAGAAGAGTGGGGTCAAGGTCAAAGGAAAGATCAAGGTTAAAAAATGTTGATGCAGTTGAATAACTCTTACCAGTATGTATCACCATATGAAGTTTTGTAAAAATGTCTTAAATGGTTTATCTAAAACTGGGCTAAATACTAATTAAAGAAAAGTGAGGTCAAGGTCAAAGGAAAGGTCAAGGTCAAAAAAGCTGATGCAGTTGAATAGCTCTCATCAGTGTTATCAACATATGAAGTTTGTTAACACTGTCTTGAATTGTATCTCTAAAATTGAGCTAAACACTAATTTAAGAAAAGTGAGGTTAAGGTCAAAGGAAATGTCAAGGTCAAAAATGTTGATGCAGTTGCATAGCTCTCATCATTATCTATCAGCATATAGAGTTTGGTGAAAATATCTTGGATAGTTTCTTTAAAATTGAGCTTTGAACTGAGCTAAACACAAAGTGTGATGGAAGGACAGATGGACAGCTAGACAGAAGACGAACATGACAAACATTATATGCCCTGGCCATATTCATGGCAGGTCATAAAAACACTCAAAAATAAGAGACCCATGATGAAAGTTTCCGAAACCATGCTGAGCATAGATTGCAAGTTGAAAACAAGAGGCCCATGGGCCACATCGCTCACCTGAGTAATTTGGGTGATGCAGTTCTTTACCAGATTTCCCCTCTTGTTATACCTAGTGTGGCCTCCTAACCCCCTCCCCTGTCATGATTTTTATACTTTAGAATCTACACTACCACAGGATGTTTCCACATAAGTTTCGACTTTCCTGACCCAGTGGTTCTTGAGAAGATGATTTTTCAATATTTTTCACATGTATAAATTTGTATGTAAAAATTGGATTCCCTATTGTGGCCCCGCCCTACCCCCGGGGGTCATGATTTAAGCAATTTAGAATCTACATTACCCAAGGATGCTTCCATAAAAGTTTCAGCTCCACTGGCCCAGTGGTTCTTGAGAAGAAGATTTTAAAAGATTTTTCCTTTATATTTAAGGTCTTCCGTTTCCAACGGAAGACCTTCTACTGATTCTGATGATTAAGATTATTCTTTTTTTTTTCCTTTTCCTAGACGCCAACTTTGAGGCCTCATATTTCACTCATTTCTCAATGGATTTTGCTCAAATTTTCAGAGTTTATAGACCTTACTAAACTCTATCAGAATTTTGTCCAGCATTCCAAAAATTCACTTCCGGTTTTGAGTTATTTCCCTTTAAACGAAAATTTATAGGCTTTCATTTCCAGACAAAGGCTCGGAGATGGCAAAAGCAGGAGCAGAAATTTTACTGATTTTACACAACAGAAGGATTGAAGTTGTGCATGGCGGTTTTTGTTTTTCGATTTCTCTATTAAAAATGGTGCTATATAGGGGTCAAAAATTAGAACGCCTAAAAGAGCGAAAATTTACACATATTTTGCTTTTTATCTTCTAAACTAAAAATATTTTGTTAAAACATATAGAACAAAATTTGTGCAGAATTATAAGATCTTTTAAATGATATCTCGAAAAAAGGGCTGACCCCTAAATTAAGGGATCTAGAGGGGCCAAAAGTTTTTTCCAGATATCTCAAAAAGTATTGAGAATTTGTTATACGTTTAAGAAGCAAAGTTGTTCAAAATTTCAATCTTAATCTATTGAAGTCGTCAAAATGCGTCCGGCGACGTCACTTCCAGTCAAACCGGAAGTCATCAGAAAATGCACATTTTTGCCGTTCTTGACAAGTTTTAGGGTAACATATGTCACTGGAAGCATAAAACTTAATTTTCCGTCCGTCGACATCACTTCCGGTCAAACCGGAAATAGCCAAAAATAGCTTATTTTTTTAAGGTTTTGATGCAAAATTGAAATTATAAAGTGACTGAAGACGACTTAGCTCATTGTTTTCTTTTGTTGACGTCACTTCCGGTCAAAACAGGACGGAAGACCTACTCGTTGCTTTGCAACGAGCTTTGCTCTAGTTCTATATAAAACTTGGATTCCCTATTGTGGCCCCACCCTATCTCCGGGGGTCATGATTATATCAGTTTAAAATCTACACTACCCAAAGATGCTTCCACATAAGTTTCAACTTTCCTGGCCCAGTGGTTCTTGAGAAGAAGATTTTAAAAGATTTTTTCTATATATTTCTATGTTAAACTTGGATTCCCTATTGTTGCCCCCTCCTACCTCCGGGAGTCATGATTTTAACAATTTGAATCTACACTATCCAAGAATGCTTCCACATAAGTTTCAGCTTTCCTGGCTCAGTGGTTCTTGAGAAGAAGATTTTTTAATGACCCCACCTTATTTTTGTCTTTTCTTGATTATCTCCCCTTGTAAGGAAACTTGGCCCTTCATTTTTTAAAAAATTTAAACTTCCCTTCACCCAAGGATGCTTTGTACCAAGTTTGGTTAAAATTGGCCCAGTGGTTCTTGAGAAGAAGTCGAAAATGTGAAAAGTTTACAGACGGATGGACGGACGACGGACAAAATGTGAAGAGCTCACTTGAGCCTTCGGCTCAGGTAAGCTAAAAAGACAGTTTAGACAATTGTTTATAATTTAATTTTAGTTGTAACATGTCATTTGATTGGGTAAAAGGTTTCATTCATTTTGTATAACATAACTTCCCTACGTCACAACGAGTTACATCAAATCCGTATTACTTCGCTTGACTTTACTTTTAAAATATGCTATATTTGAAGCCTTTTTCCGGAGGAAAAATTGTCTCATTTTCAACACTGAAATCAAATTATAAGGAATGAAGTTTATTTCAACTTATGTTATACTGTGTAGCGGGTTTTCTTGGCGGGAGTAAAATTTGGCTTTTTGCCTACTCTAAGGTATGCCAATAATTTTGGTGTGGTTTATTTTAGCAGAATCAGGGTTTAAGCTCTTTGCAGATGGACACTAATAAGAGTCCTGACAATTTTAGCGATTAAAATTTTAGCGGACTATCACCAAAACGCCAAAATAAGCCAAAATTAGCACCCCGCTAAAATAACCTGCTATACGGTATGATATAACATAACTTGGGGTAGTTTACACCTTTTTATAAACCGATTTGTGGTTTATAAAGCGTAAACTGCCCCAAGTTATGTTATATATATTGTATAACATAAGTTGAAATACTGTAAATGTATTATATTTAGCATGTACAATATTTGGTGGAAAGTGATTATTGAACAAGTTAGCGTAGATTTGATTTAGCGCATTTCTTGATTTTCTTATTAAAATATATATGTACAAGACATTTAGCATTGTACTTGAATTAGCGGAATTTTGTTTCCGCCAAAAACGCTAAAAAGAATACACCACCAAATGTAATACATTTACAGTAAGCTTCATTCCTTAAATCAAACCTTTAACAATGTAACTATAAAAAATTCCTACTATCTGATTAAAGTCAGTGTTTTATTCATTCTATTTATAGACATTTTAAAATTATGGAGTGTCATGAAATGGTGTTAATGAGACTAACAGTTTTAAAATATTTTGAATTTCCACTTACTTCTGAGGTTTAGTGTAGTCCCTGAAATCATATATCATAGATCTAATGATTATCCCTATTTTCCCTGTCTTCACTGATGGAGACCCTTTCTCCAATACTTCTTGGGCCACAGGTGCCCAGGTCTCAAACAGCTTGGGTTCTTTCTAAAAAAAAAAGAAAAGGAGTCCCTGTTGAGACTGTAGCTCTACTGGTTTGTACTCATAATAAAGGAAGAGAAAAGTAGCAGTTGGGACTTAAAACTTGACAAAAGCAATAAATAAAACTAGAACTGTCCAAACAGGACAAAATACCCCACTGGGTTCTTCAGAGGTGCTAAATCATGAATATTTTATGGATCTAAGAGAAGAGAGAAATGCTAAAACATTTTTAATGCAAATGTAATTGCTCATTACATTTTTCTTAAATGAAACAAAGGCGCAGCCTAATAAAAAAAAATAGACTAAATATACGGACCAGACAAAATCAGTGGCCCTTTTCACAAAAAATCTTATGACATATTTTTATCTTAAGTGAAAACTTGTGACAAAAGTTCTTTTCACAAAAATTCTTAAGAAAGTCCTAAGTGCAAAATCTATCATAACTTTACGAGAGCCCCAACCCTCTCTTAAGTATTTTCAAACTGAAGTTATTGTTAAAATATAACCACAAAAATCAAAATACATGTTAAATAGAACTTTTAAAAGTTACTTCCAATAAAATTTTATATTTTTTTCACACTTATTTTGGAAAAATGACATGAAATACACTACAAAATATTTACGAACTAAGTTTCACTTAAGATTTTCGTATAACCTACTCTTACTTCATACATGTGATTGTTACGTCACATTTCAAACTTCTTGCTTGCACTCGCTATTTGTTGTCAATAACGTTTGTTTTTGCAAATAAATGAAAAGTTAAAATCGTAAGCAAAAACTTAAGATTTTTTGTGAAAAGGGCTACAGAAACTTTTTCTGTCAGTGACCTTGAACTTGCATAAATGACCTTGGTTCAAAGCCTCAGGTCATAAGCAATGTTTGTGTGAAGGAGTAGATTCAAGTTTTTCCATAATAAAGAAAGATTTGGACCGGGCACGAATTATGAAATTTTTCTTCCAGTGACCTTGAACTTCCCCAAATGACCTTGGCCCAAGGTCATGACACATCCTTAGGTCATGGGCAATCTTTGTGTGAAGGGAGAACCTACCAAGTTTATCCATAAAAAAAGATATGGACCGGACACAAATTATGAAATTTTTCTTCCAGTGACCTTGAAGTTCCCAAAATGACCTTGGGTCAAGGTCATGACACATCCTTAGGTCAGGAGGAATCTTTGTGTGAAATGAGAACCTACAAAATTTATCCATTAGAAAGATATGGACCAGACACAAATTATGAAATTTTTCTTCCAGTGACCTTGAACATCCCTAAATGACCTTGGGTCAAGAACATGACACATCCTTAGGTTATGAGCAATATTTGTGTGAAATTAGAACCAACCAAGTTTATCTATAAGATATGGACCAGACACAAATTATGAAATTTTTCTTCCAGTGACCTTGAACTTCCTCAAATGACCTTGGGTCAAGGTCATGACACACTTTTAGGTCATGTGCAATCTTTGTGTGAAATTAGAACCTACCAAGTTTATCCATAATAAAATATGGAATGGACACGAATTACAGTGAAACTGTCTAATCCGACATGCACTGGGAGATGAATTTTTGTTGGAATAGACAGGATGTCGGATTACCCAGTGTAAAGAAACATGGAAATAAGTAAAATGGAAACAAAATTAAATGTTTGAATTCACAGTGTGATGGATTACACAGTTGTCGGATTAGACAGTTTTCACTGTATGAATTTTTTTCTTCCAGTGACCTTGAACTTCCTCAAATGACCTTGGGTCAAGGTCATGACACACCCTTAGGTCATGGGCAATCTTTGTGTGGAGTAGTAGATTCTAATGTTCCTCCGTAAGAAAGATATGGACCGGACACGTTTGCACAGACAGACGGACAGCTAGACAGACGGACAAGGTGATTCCTTTATACCCCCCAAACTTCATTTGCGGGGGTTATAATAATGATCCTTGATTAAGTCTCTTTTTTTGGCATGATTGCAATAAAACAACTTTAGGAGTAGCTTTTAATAAAATTTTACAGAATTTTTGATTTTAGTTACCATGGCAACATCAATCATCAAACTCAAAAACACAAATTTGAGAATTTGAGAATTATGTATCTCAGTGTAGTCTACTTGCATGCCAAATTATATTATAATCAGACTAAAATTGTAGGAGGAGTAGTATTTTGAAAGTATTTCACAGAAATTTCTATTTTCAGTAACCACGGCAACAGACAGACAGCTAGACGGACGGACGGACGCCGGACGCATTACTATTGCATTAGCTCCTCTGGTCTCTGACCAGTAGAGCTAAAAAAAAAATTGATGTATTGACATGGAGCACATGGCTACCACCACATTAGCATTCACCAAACAATATCCTCTCATACTAAGTGTGACAAGAAATAACAAGAGGCCCATGGGCCTTATAGGTCACCTGAGCATTACGCAACAACTTTCCAGTGATTGAATTTGATCCATGTTTTAAGCCAGATGCTATAGCATTTACAATTTTGATCATCATAACAATACACTTAGAAGTTGCTTAGTTTGGTTACTTAATACCCATAGGCAGGGTAGGGGAACAAAAAATGCATTTCAACAAATCAATAATATTCAGCAATAATCAGTAGTGCCGCTACCACACATGAACCCTTGACTCTTAGGCCTAGATCCAAACATTGCACAATTTTTAAAAAGGCATCCTTGCTTTTCAAAAACATTTGATTAATACCAAGGAGCAGATTTCAAACAATTCATTCATTTTCAGTATATAAGTAGAGCCCCCCCCCTCTATGGTACAACTGACCCTGGGGCCTTGAAATTCACAATTCTTGAAGATAAGGGCCCTTGCTCATAACTATATAGGTAGTTCATCTGCTTAATACCCAGGAGCAGAGAAGAAAATATTCAAATATTTAATGTTTTTCACTATACATGTATAATCAAAGAGCCCCGCCCTAACACAAGAACCCCTGATCCTGGGGCCATAAAATTCACAATTTTGGTAGAGGCACTCTTGCTCATCATAACTATGTACTTAGTTAGTTTATTTAAAACCTAGGAGCAGAGAAGAAGATTTTCAATGAATTCATGTATTTTCACTATATAATCAAAACAGCCCCACCCTAACACCAGAATCCCTGACCCTGGGGTCATAAAATTCACAATTTTGGTAGAGGCACTCTTGCTCATCATAACTAAGTACTTTGTTAGTTTATATAAAACCTAGGAGCAGAGAAGAAGATTTTCAAAGAATTCATGTATTTTCACTATATAATCAATAGAGCCCCGCCCTAACACCAGAACCCCTGACCCTGGGGCCATAAAATTCACAATTTTGGTAGAGGTACTCTTGCTCATCATAACTATGTACTTAGTTAGTTTATTTAATACCTAGGAGCAGAGAAGAAGATTTTCAATGAATTCATGTATTTTCACTATATAATCAATAGAGCCCCGCCCTAACACCAGAACCCCTGACCCTGGGGCCATAAAATTCACAATTTTAGTAGAGGCACTATTGCTCATCATAACTATGTACTTAGTTAGTTTATCTAATACACAGGAGCAGAGAAGAAGATTTTTAAAGAAATAATGCATTTTCACTATATACTTATTTAGCCCCGCCCTAGCACAAGAACCCCTGACCCCAGGGCATTGGATTTCAAATTTTGGTAGAGGACTCAATGCTGATTACAATCATGCAAACAGTTTGACTGCTTGATGTCCAGGAGTAAAGAAGAAGATTTTTAAAGATTGCATTAATTTTAGTGGTTTTGGCCCCACCCCCCAGGCCCTAGGGGGGCAGGGATCATGAAATTCATAATTTTTGTTCCCCTTCACCCATAAATGCATTGTGCCAAATTTGGTTGAAATTGGTTCAGTGGTTGCAGAGAAGAAGCTGAAAATGTTCAAAAGTTTACGACCGATTGACGACGAACGACGTACCACGACGGACAAAAACAGATAGCAATAGGTCACCTGAGTGACTCAGGTGACCTAAAAATAAAAAAATATCTCCCAGGGCTAGAATAGAATGTCTGGAAGGGGGAAGGAGGGGGAAGAACATATATAGTAAACAACTTTTCTGAACTTTGTTTTCTCAAGAACATCTAGCATATTCAAATCATTTATATTTTTATCACTGTGTAAACATAAATTCATGAATCAAATCATTGTCTTCAGGATTTTCGCAACAATAGCAAGGCTGAAATTTTCCTATATGATATGGGATCTTCCCTGTGTAGGATTAAATCTTTTACACAAAACAGATCACTGGGGGGCAGGGTAGGGTGACAATTGTCAAATCAATAGACATCACTCCATCACATCATTAAACCACTGTGTAAGTCAATGGATTCAGTAATTTCTATCTCTTTTAGTTGTTAAACACAGTGCATAATCTATACATGCATTTTCAAAACTGACAGAATTTCATGCATTAAACTGTGGTTGTAGTCGGTGTTCAAAGTTTACCTTGATGTGTTGCTCTTTAACATGACTTGTGAGGTCATCAAAGGTCCTGACAAGGTCAGGGAACTTGTCAGCTTTAGGACTAATGGTCACTGTCTTCCAGAGCTGTAGGGTCATATCATACACATCCAGCGGTTTATTTCTTTTCCTAAAATGACATCACACACACTCTAACCACAGTCTGATCTTGAAATAGGCATATTTTTGCTAATATTTGCAGAATATGATTTATGACTAATGTAATAACATGTACTAAATAAGTTTCAGTGTCATTACTGATGACAGAATTATAGCTGCAGAACTGTAGCTCTCTGGAAAAAATCTATTGACAGACTGTAGAGCTACAGTGCCATCCATTGAAACAAGAGGCCCAGGGGCCACATTGCTCACCTGAGCACATCGGCTAAGAAAATGCACAAATCAGATCAGAATTGAAAAGTTTACTGAGGGGTGGGCGGGGGGAGGAGGCTTGAATACTAATACTGGCTTTGCTATTCTTTAGAAAAAGATTTTTAAAAATATATTTTAATGTAAAACTTGGATCCCCCATTATGGCCCCACCCTATCCCTGGGGATTATGATTTGAACAAACTAGAATCTACAGTATCTGAGGATGCTTCCATAAAAATATCATTAATCATGGCTTTGCAGTACTTGTGAAGAAAATTTTAAGGATTTCCCAATATATATTCCTATGTAAAACTTTGATCGGCCAATTTGGCCCCATCCTTGCCCTGGGGGTCATGAATCGAACAAATTTGAATCTATACTACCTGAGGATGATTCCACATGAGTTTCATCTTTCCTGGCCCAGGAGTGGTTCTTGAGAACAAGATTTTTTAAAAATGCCATTAATTTTTCACTAATTCATAATTATCTCCCCTTGGAAGAGGATGTGGCCCTTCATTTGAACAAACTTGAATCCCCTTTACCAGAGGATACTTTGTAGCAAGTTTGGTTGAAATTGGTAAAGTTCTTGAGAAGAAGATGAAAATGTGAAAAGTTTACAACAATGACAACAACGACAGACAACGGACAAATTTTGATCAAAAAACCTCATCTGAGCCTTCAGCTCAGGTGAGCTTAAAAGTGTATATTTATTGAGCACAAAAAAGTGCACTGTTTTTCGATTTATTTCTCCATGTTTTTAAAAGTGCCATCTCAAACTAGTGCTAACTGTAACGGGGACCGTTACAGATGTTCCCCAAACGCTCCCCATGTCCCTTTTCGTGCCTTATTCCTCTAAGACCTTTTATATATCTTTCTATCCCGCAAATCAGAGAAAAAAATACAGATATAAAGTTACAATTTTTCAAGCATATATCATTTTTTAAAATACCGATTCACATTTTATTTCTCTACTGATTTTAACCTCGGGCTCAAAGTTGGTTTTATTCCGACAAGGCAGGGTTAAAGTCGTCTAAGGGTAACACGACGATAGCTAACAAATCAAAATGAACTTATTCAATAGTAGTTCCATACATGGAAAAGGGATTTTCCTTTCTGTTCAGAATTTTTTTTATATTTCCTCTCAGGCCATTTTGACAACTCTGGTACCTGTGCCCAGTAAATTTTATATACTTTGTAAATAAATATATAAAGGTTTTTGACAGGAACTATTCATTTTTTCCAATGCATAGGAGGCTATTTTCTGGGGTTTACAAGAGATGTTTAAAAAGACATTCGTGTCAGCTAATGTGACCAATATTGTTTAACACCTTCTTATTAATATTTTTTTCATGATTGCAAATACCTGATTATTTTACGAAGGAGCGTACAAGTATATTGATTTTTAATATACCGAAAATCACTATTTCTGGGGATTGCATAATTCGAAAAAAAAAATCAAATAAATTTCAAAGGTAAAATAAACAAAGGATGCTTGGTATTAAAATATTATTTCAAATCAGTAGAACTGAATGCTATTAACGACATCTGAATAAATAGGCTATAAAAGGATTATATACCAACTTTGTTCATCTGTACTTTAATTTCAAACACGACAGGATTTGTAATTTTTTCCGTATAAATTAATAATTTCTATATACTCTGGAAACTCACATCAAATATTTTAATACACTTTCCTCGAGCTCTTTTCTGCAGCTTTCCTGAAATTTTATGTGGGTCCGAGGTGTTATTTGAGCTTTACAGCGATTCTCTACGTTGCTAGGCTATCATTTTGATTTGTGTGTCTGTGTGTGTGTGGGGGGGGGGGGGGGTGGCGGGGTATTTTTATTCTTAACCTATTTAAGACCGCGGAACATTAACTGGCAAAATTGGAAACATACAGCTTGCGTCATTTCTATCTGTTACAAGCAAAACATTCAGTGATAGATAATGAAATGGGCGGGTACAATTCGACGCGGACGTGCGGAAAACATCGGATTGAAATTGTAGATCGAAATTCATTTTCAATCCACCTCAGCTACGCTAGAAGGCACATTATTACTGATTGACCCTGAAGACAAATAATTTCAATTTTGGTACAGTTTGAATTTTTTGTTCAGTGTTTTAAATAAATTAATATTTATGGGGAAAATATTTCTGTTTGGTAAATATATGTATATCTTTGTGTTGGGGGGGCTGGGGGCTGAACGATTTTTAAATTAAGTTGTCCAACACTTTTCAGTGAGAATAAGCATAAAACTCATACAATCTTATAATCCTAGAAATAAAATATATTGTCATGTTAAGCCATGACCTATACAACAATTATTTACATTCTAGAATTAAATATCTCCTGAAAAATAATCTTTGTCTTATATAATCTTTTCCGTTCTTAAAATTATAAGCTAAAACTCATATTAATGGGAACTTCAAACAATATGTATTTGGGAGTTGAAATTAGTTGATTTTTGGATCATACATTCACTCTTTGCTTTGAAAACACCTCAGGTGGATTGAAAATGAATTTCGATCTGCAATTTCAATCCGATGTTTTCCCCACGTCCGCGTCGAATTGCACCCGCCCATTTCACTTCTATCACTGAATATTTTGATTGTAACAGATAGAAATGACGTAAGCTGTATATTTCCAATTTTGCCAGTTAATGTTCCGCCGTCTTAACGTTGGAGTTGAATCTTGTATCTTACTCCAAGAACTTAGGATTGATTGTGACATTTGGATGAAAGGTCAAGGTCATTAAAAACCACCACCTGTTTAACTTCTATCCTGCCAACCGAAATAAACTCTGAGAGGTGTTTCTAGATACATGTACATGTACTTCATGTTTCTTGTTAAGGTCGGATTTCAAGTTCATAGGTCAAGGTCATTTTGGTAAATAGCTAATATCAACATTTTTTTCAGGTTACCAGTGACCCTTACCTAAGTTTCAAGGTCAAGGGTCAAAAGATCTGCTTCAGTATGTTACATGTCTTGACATTTAGTAGTTCTTAATTCTGCATGAACATCAAAAACTCAAGTATACTGGTTGTTTAAAGCATTGTGTGCACGCGCATGTCATGCACGTCCTTGCATTTACTTTTGATAGTACATAAAGCATAATGTAGGCATTCATTATATATATTCATATTCGAAATTTCATCCTGTTTTATTGAGAACCAAGAAAGTTTTAGGCATTTAAAGTTTTAGCCAATCAGATTGCAGCACACTTGCATGTGCGTGTGCCCTCATGATTATTCTTATATATCATGCTGTAGATCTTCATAATGTATGACTATGTTCAAAATTTCAAAGGATTTTGCCAGAAAACAAAAAAGATATTTAGACGTTAGTTTCAGCCAATCGGAGCGAAGCGCACGTGCACGCTCGTGAGATCTTGCTATTTTGACCATGTCATCATTTCTAAACTACTAATATATCCTTATATTATGAGTTTCAAAGCATTTCATCAAAAATTTAAAAAGTTACGGCTATATCAATTATATTGGTCATTTCAAGTGTTACACGTGCGCGCACATGCATGCATGTGCGTGCAAAATGACCTTCATTTCACACATCTGCATAACATACCTAGTAACCCTAAAAAGGTTTCACCTAGATCGGATGAGTTGTTTTCGAGAACACTCGTGGACAAAAAAGTAGAAGAAAAAGAAGAAGAAAAGTCAGAAAAAGTAAAAACAATATGTTCCCAAACTTCGTTTGGGGAACATAAATATTACTAACCGTGTGTTCCTTACTTACTTTTTCCCTGTTTCCACAACAAAACATTCAAAATAACTTGTTAATAACCCTCCTGGCCCTGAAATTGAGGCCACCAAAAATTTGCCATTCATACTGCCATCTTGGTTTGCAAGATAATTTGGTCCAATGCACTTCATGCAGATCTCAACCATGAGAGTACTTTATAGAGAAGTAACGAATTTGTCAAAACTTATCTTTTTTGCAACTTAAGTAAGAATTTGAAGAAATTAATCCAGAACCCAGTGCAACTTTTTGTGCGCAGTAAATATATAACTTTTCCTATGAGTGGCGCTGTAGCTCTCTGATAATCCAGCTCAATTTTTTTTTAGATCAGTGAGCTACAGATCTGCAGCTAACAGAATACATGCTCTTGAATCTTAAAGTAAATTGAAATGATTTTTAACAAGAGGCCCATGGGCCACATTGCTCTCTTGAGCATTGTAGCTGGGAAAAGAATAAATGGGTTCATTATTGAAAAGTTTAAATCCAAAAGCAGTCCCAGGACCAATCATGGCTTTGCTATTCTTGAGAAGATGATTTTGTCAAGAATTTTCCTATATACTTGGATTGGCCATTTTGGCCCTGCCCTACCCCCCCTGGGTCATGACATGAACAAACTTAAATCTACACTACCTGAGGATGCTTCCATATAAATATGAGCAATTATGGCTTTGCTATTCTTGAGAAGAAGATTTTTAAAGAATTTTTCTATATATTTCTAAGTAAAACTTGTATCGGCCATTTTGTCCCCGCCCTGCCCCCGGGGGTCATGATTTGAACAAACTTGAATCTAGACTACCTGAGGATGCTTCCATATAAATATTAGCAATTATGGCTTTGCTATTCTTGAAAAGATGATTTTTAAAGAATTCTCCAATATGTTTCTATGTAAAACTTGCATTGGTCATTTTGGCCCTGCCCTACCCCGGGGGTCATGATTTGAACAAACTTGAATCTACACTACCTGAGGATGCTTCCATATAAATATGAGCAATTATGGCTTTGCTATTCTTGAGAATAAGAATTTTCCTATATATTTCTTTGTAAAACCTTGATCGGCCATTTTGGCCCTGCCCTACCCCGGGGGGTCATGATTTGAACAAACTTGAATCTAGACTACCTGAGGATGCTTCCATACAAATATTAGCAATTATGGCTTTGCTATTCTTGAGAAGATGATTTTTAAAGAATTCTCCAATATGTTTCTATGTAAAACTTGCATTGGTCATTTTGGCCCTGCCCTATCTCGGGGTTCATAATTTGAACAAACTTGAATCTACACTACCTGAGGATGCTTCCATATAAATATGAGCAATTATGGCTTTGCTATTCTTGAGAATAAGAATTTTCCTATA